TACGTAGGTAGGTTAGGGTTAGGGTTAGGGTTAGGGTTAGGGTTAGGTAGGTAGGTAGTACGTACGTACTACTACTACTTACGTTACGTACGTACGTACGTACGTAACGTAACGTACGTACGTACGTCGTCGTCGTACGTCGTACTCTCTCTCTCTCTCTCTCTCTCTCTCTCTCTCTCTCTCTCTCTCTCTCTCTCTCTCTCTCTCTCCTAGAGAAAATGTCTAGTTATATGCATTCTGCTCACTTACAACTAATACTTAATTTTTTCTACTTATTAGTATGGAACCCAAGTTCAGTTCAAGTCAGTACAGTTGGGAAAATATCTCTCAGCTGAAAATGGTGGGGGTTCAATTATTGTCGCAAACAGGACAAGTGCATCAGGATCGGAAACGTTCACGGTGAGTTACTTAGGAAATGAACATGCAACATGCTTGATTTCCCATTACTTATAGCAAGTATGAACTTTGAAGGGTGTTCCGGTCATTTAATATTATCCTTTCTGTAAATTTCCACTAAGTAGACATTTTTTAGACGATATACCTGAAGAAAAGCTCAAGATATTGAGCTGACGATTCGAATACTACTGCAGTTGCAGAGGACTACGGATGTCAAATATCAGTTTCGAGTGTTCAATGGACAGTTTATAGGACAGGGATCAGGAAAAGATGTGGTAGCAGTAGCTAATGATCCCGGGACTACTGAAACTTTTGAGATCATCCAGAATCCAGGAGATAACAAACGAGTTCAGATCAAGGCATCAAATGGGATGTTTTTGCAGGTCCTTTGCACTAATTTCTCAGGCATCTAAATTGAAATCCATATCTCAAGGAAATTTTTTATCTAGTTATCATCACACTATTAACTACATTTTAGCAAACAGAAACGTAAGGCAGTTCTAATAATGGGTTTAATTGTTCTTATCCAATATAGTCGAAGACAGGAAACCATGTGACTGCAGATTTCCAAGGTGACCAAGGCTGGGGAGATAATAGTCCAGCCGTGTTTGTGACCACGATCGTTCGCACACGGCAAGGACAATACCAGTTAACAAATGGTTATGGACCTGATAAGGCTCGCCAAATTATGAATGTAAGCACCTCATGATGTAAATATATGCAAACTAGCTTATGATTACTTATCGAAGCATATGAATCACCCTGCTCTGTTTCTTGATTTTTAGGATCACCGGAAAATTTACATTGTGGAAGACGACTTCAGGTTTATGTCTAACAATGGGATAAACTCTATGAGAATACCTGTGGGTTGGTGGATTACAAGTGACTCTACACCCCCAGATCCCTATGTTGGTGGCTCTCTAAATGCTTTGGAAAACGCTTTCACTTGGGCAGAGTAGGCATAAATCTATCAAGCAATCAATCACATAGACACACACAATCTCTTTCTCCGCATGGCATTGAAGATTGTAACATGGTGTGTTTTGTATACGAAGGAAATATGGTGTCAAGATAATCGTCACTCTCCATGCGGCTCCTGGTTCACAGAATGGGAATGAACATAGTGGCACAAGAGATGGGAGCCAGAACTGGGGAAAGACAAAGGAATATAGACCGGACCGTTTCAATTATAGATTTCCTTACTTCAAGGTACAAAATTACATTCATATGTGTAGGTCCTGCATCCTATAGTCATTGGAAGTGCACTTGACAAAAAAGACAAAACAATACATATTTGAAATGCAGCTCATAATCACTTAGTCACACTTATCAAACAACTTTATTTGTGCATTGAAGATCACCCTACCACATTACCCAGTGCTTAAGCACCTATCTGAGATAGTATATAGCAGGATCACCTGGCGACTTTAGATGTTTAACTAGAATTTTTGGGTTCTTTAATATTTGCTCTTGACATGATTAACCAAACATTCCATAATATTAGCCCCCTCTACTAAGAACAAGTTCCTTTTTCTTATTGCAGATACGCCAGGAGGACGAGTGCATTACTACAATCTCTATTCCAGTATGTTTAATTCTATGACAGTGCAGCAAAACATAGACTTCATATACAGTGACAGGGCTCAGCAGCTCAGCAGCATAACTACAGCTAATGGTCCACTCACTTTTGTGGGTAAGAACTTTAGTTAGAAAGACATTGTTACTCTTTACTAAGACCATGGTATAAAAGATAGAAAGAACTGATTATGTGTGTTCCATTTCATGGGGAACCGTATCTATAGGGGAATGGGTTGCTGAATGGGCAGTTCAAGGAGCATCAAAGGAAGATTATAACAGATTTGCAAAGGCCCAATTGGATGTTTATGGCCGCGCCTCGTTTGGATGGGCTTATTGGACTTAC